CAAACTAATACAATTGCAAGCAGAATTAGGCAAATCCACCATTCTAGTTGGAGATTTCCACAAACCTGTACCAGTAATTGATGGATCCATCAGACCTATCTTCAAGGATACAGCTGAACCAAATAGCTCTATTAATCAACTTGATCTAAATAACATTTATAGAGAAAGAAGGCACAGCAGTCTTAATGAAGGTATCAAGTTGGATCACCTCCAATTCACTGTACTTTCCCAGTACAATGACGTGTGTGTGTGTGTGTGTGTGTGTGTGTTTGTATGTGTGTGTGTCCACTCTTATACCTGGCACAACACCTTCAGAAAGGTGTGGTTTGAATAAATATTTGTTGAATCTAAATCTTTAAAACATTTTGCTGCTTCATCTATAGCTACTGTTGACAGGGTTAACTGTGCAAACCATTGATTTATAATCAGTCGCCATGCTACTCCCTGGAAGGAGTCTGGTATTTGCACTGATGAAACTTAAAAACTCCACTGCTTCTTTGAAAATATGCCAGTGGACCCCACTTTCACCCATAGAAATTCTCCACTGTTACCAAGAACTTTGCATAGGCCACATACACTGAGCGCTCTGCTCAGCTGTTTTCCCCTTTTTTATTAGCTCCTTGTGTATCTTGCCATAGACCTCAGCTTGGCCAGTACATATATCCAGTTCCAAGATTTCTCCTGCACTTTAGTGTGATAGCTGAGTGTTCCACACTTTTTAAAATTCAAGGTAATATATATTTTTCCTCAAGTTAAAAGTTCAAAATTCAAAACATAAAAAATGAGAAACCATACTGAGTATCTCTTTGTGCAGCAACTGGAGACCATGCTGGTTCTCACTGGTGTTGTAACATACAGACAGCTAAACATCAGAACAACCCAGTCACCCCCATAAGATCTCCAACATTTTCCTGGAATGCCCTCTACCTGAAAGTATATGAGCAGGTTTCTCCATAGTGCACCATTTCCAACAGCAAGACAAAATCCACACAGCAATTTTTAAAATAAATAATCCAGACCATTGTCAACTTTGTTATTAAAAATGCAAGGATCGGCAGTTAAGCTTTGGGCATTAAAGACATTGTGGAGTATGTAGTCATATACTTAGAACCTATTCATGACTTCCTTTTAGTACAAGCTGATGAAGTGAATAAACTGGACCCACTAACCAACCTGAAAAATTGAATTGTTCACTTACTCTTTATTTTTTTTATCAGAAAATAAAGCATGAAAGTTTTGCTTATGAGATATGGAGTAAGGTAAACTTGGAAGCTCACTTGTCTAATGTTCTGTAAACCTCAAAAATTGTCTAATGTTCTCTAAACCTCAAAAATTTTCACATATAAAATAGATGTAATACAATTGTGATAATATAAATTCCATGAAAAGTAAATGTAATAAACTCATGGAGCTCAGTGCCTATGTCAACAGATTCTAACTGTCTCATCATAGTCTACCCGAGGTTAAAGATCAGAAACCATTTGGTATGTAAACTTCAGTGTAAATCAGAGTGTCAACTGCTGCCCACGTCCACATCCAGCCTAGAAAAACCTGCTTGCGTTCTATTTGCATTGCCAGTCAACTCATTTCCCTGCTTCAGCTTTGCTCACCAGGCCCATGACTTTTAAGTGACATGAATCCCACCCCAATGGCAGTTAAACACCTCCTGCTCTCACAGCAGGGACAGGGACATTAATTTATTCCACCACTGCATCTCAAGTCTGTAAATTGCAGGCTGAGATCAGCAGAGATAACCTGATAAGCCCCTTGGCATCCCAGCCTCGCTTCTCACCAGAGAATATTTAACACTCTCCACAAGTGAATAAGGATTATCTCACAAATTTGATTTTACTCGGTATTAAAGCTTTATGTCTCTTACAAACCAGCTGGACTAAAAACCTAAAGCCTTTAGTCTATTGCAAATCAAGCTAAATGCATGGAATAGTCCATCTGTCGATCAGGAAAGACAGCACAAAAGTATCAGCTCGTCCCTTGTGACAACAATGTTATCAGACTTCCATATTGTTGTGGATGTTGTGACAACAGGACCGTTGCTGCAATTGCCCCAAGCCAACGTTAACTACTATGCCTCATAGAAGGTCTTCCTGCAAACTGGAATTTTTTAAAGCTTGAAAAGAGGCATTTCAACATGTAGTGTGCATGAAAATCACTTGGCTGTTTGCTGAAATGGATTTAGCCATTCATTCATTGCCTATATGCATGAAGGCCCAGAGCATCTCAGTTCTTACAAATACTTCCCGTTTGACTGGGCCGTGTAACTGCTAAATATCTGTTTATCTGATTCCTATCCAGTATAACACTATGTCAGGCACTTTAGGAATATGAGAAATAATAGGTGCCTATTTTCAGGACCAGTGAAGACACAGATTTAAACTTCAGTTGCACCCCTAACTTGGTGTGTTAGTTTTGATTTTCTTTTTCACACCTTCTCTGAAGATCTTTTGTCAACTTTTACACCACAGAGCTCTCTCGTGCTATTAGGGGAACTTACACCGTACCCTCAACTTCCTATGGAGCTCTTTCCTACCTGCACCCCACTAGCCCACTAAGTACTGACATTCCTCATGTTACCAGATATGTAACTCAGAGAATTGTTTGCAAGTATAGAAAATGCTCTCTCTATTACCCAAACAGGCCTAAAATAGACTGTGCTTCCTTCTGAGCAATGGGAGATGTAAGACACATTAACTTGTCCTTCCTTTCTGGGTGGGGGATTGCTGGAAAGACGTCCCATTATGCCATTAACACCAGGGAGTGACAAAGTGTAGGCCACAGCTAGAGGGCTGCCACTCTTGTATGAAAGCATTTTTTTTATACCGTTATTCTCATATATTTAAACATTGTCTATGGCTGTATTTAATCAACAGTGGCAAAGAGAAAGACAATTTCAATTGTCTGGTCTGTAAGACTAGAAACTTTCACTCTGTGATCCTTTGCCAGAAACAGTTCATCAACTGCTGCCAAAAACCTTTGAACATGTAATAACTTTTCCAATATGATCCAAATCAGAGTATTTATAGGGGTTATGTATGATCACTTATAGACCATATATTTTACCAAAACTTGAACATAGCTGCCAAATCTTGCTCATCAATTTCACTGAAATAAGTGTATAAGCTGGCAAAGACACTTACTGACTTCCAGATTCTTTTTAAATTAATGATTAATAGTACTTAGCCTTTAATTGTCTTTCTCGTATGCACCAATAGCACTTGGCATTAGCCATCCAATCCAAGGGTGTTTTTACTGACTACTTCTCCCATACCTCTCAGCGAGCAACATTATTGCACCAGGATACACTAGCAAACTTTCCCAGCTCTGAGTGAAACTTTAGACTAGGAAGCTGCTATATCTGGATCAAGGCTATCAATCCAAGCCCTACAAACAGGTGATGCAACTCTCAAATATGACTTCAGGGTCCATCTCCTTGTACTACTCTTGATATCAACTCTCTTGAGTTGAGTACCTTAGAAACTGGGACAGTGTTCAATGCAGGAGGTCTTTTGGAGGTGTACACTAAAGATTAATTCCCAGAAAGGAAAGAAGAAGGATGGGGCAAAGTGAGGAGCTCAACTGTGACAGAGTTACAACAGAGACGAAGACAGGAGATCTGGAGTTGAGCTGACTGGAACTTCAGAAATATCCCTACTCGAGTCTGGAGGTCAAAGTTTTTGTATCCCCACAACAGCCAGTTTTGTATCTAGGCTTCCTCAGGGCGAAGGATATAACTTTGGGTAAACCAACCCCTCTTGAATTCAGAGCAAACCTTGTAAAGCATCACACTCATGAGCTGTTAGCAGGTAACATTTTCAGCAGCTTGCAGAATGAAAGTTTTGATTCGTTAGAGGGTATCTGGCAGTAGAATACATTATCTGCTACAGAGAGACCATGAGAGAAAAATCCTATTTACAGCATAATTCAGCTGTCAGATTGTTTAAATAAAAAGCCAATAATAGCAAAAACTAAACATTAAAGTTTTCTGGAATTGGTTCTTTGCAAATGGTGATGATACAGCATGGAATATCATGTATATATTGCTGCCAGGAATATAAAATTACACTGCGATCCTCTAGAGTAGTTCATCAGTTTCCTTAAAAAGTTAAATGTGCACTTGCTTTATACTCCAGCTGTTGCAATCTAGATCAAGTATCTTAAATACATGAAATTTTATGCTCACACAAACATATTCCTAGCAACTTTATTTGCAGTAGCCCAAAACTAAATGACCAAGAGGTACTTCAGTGGATGGTTTTTTTAAATGTTGTGTGGTCACACTATGAAATATTATCTATACTCATTTGAAAAGGGACTTGCAGTTGTTTTTGTTGCTGGTAGCAGTGTTTGCATGGATGAACTTGAGTTTTTTCAGGCCAGGCCTATAATCACATTTGGCCAGGGTTGAACATTGGACCAAGGGCTCACATATTATCAAGTTAGAGGAGCAAAAAGGAAGATCTGAGAAGTTCTCTCTGTAGAGAGGCCAGAGACATGCCAAGCAATAGGAAAGACTATAGATTTCATCCTAGGTTATTTATAATTGTCTTACTCAAAATCTTGCAAAATCTTCTAGCAATTCATATGTTTGAGAATAAGTTTAATTCTCAAGTTATTCGTGTTGCTTTAGAAACATAGAAAGTTTTACCTAGTCCCAAGGAAGGCAGATTATTTCAGTCAAAATTTAATTGAGCCTGAATATCAGAAGGAACTAATAATATTTTATTTGTCCTGCAAAAGGAAAGTCTTCAGGAGAAGGAAGATTCAATTATTTTTAAATTATCACAAGGTTCAGGATTATAACTTGGGAGCAAGTTAAAAGAAGAGTATTTAATTTGAATACAAGGAAAAATATTTACGTTATTACAAGCACTATCCAATAATAAAATAAATTTCCTCTGAGTATACTAGGTTTTCTGATTTGCAGATGGATTAAAACAGGAAATAGATGGTTATCAAAGAAGCAGATGTATAGTCGCTGGTGTCCGAGGCTGTGTGGGCGCCATGTCGGGCCGCAAGGGTGGCAAGAAGAAGCCCCTGAAGCAGCCCAAGAAGCAGGCCAAGGAGATGGACGAGGAGGACAGAGCGTTCAAACAGAAGCAAAAGGAGGAGCAGAAGAAACTCGAGGAGCTGAAAACGAAGGCCGCGGGGAAGGGGCCCCTGGGTAAGTGCGCGCCCGGCAGGACGGCGGCCCCGCGGAGCTGGGGTCCGGGTGTGCGGAGGCCCAGGCAGCCTGGGGCGCTCCCTGTGCGGAAGCTGCAGAAATTCGCCCCTCACATTCTGAC